TCCAGGTGTTCCAAGTCTGTATACGCTGGGTGTGTATTCATGTTCGCCTGTGGTTTTTTTTTTTTTGGGGGGGGTGTCATTTGTTTCTGCAATTTCTCACTCACAGAGACTTGTCTTTTTGTGAGTCAGGTTACCTTACACTGTATTCCGGACACTGCATCTGAAATTCACTTTCAGAATTTCCTCCGAGGCCCAGGCTGATATGAACACACTCTAGAAAGAGCGTTTCGGTTGGGACATGGGGCACTAAGTCTGGGGTCACTCTACACAATAGACTCATCACTCAGATTTAAGTTACTGACATTTTGCCATTCTTGTTTCATATTTATTTCCCACTTTCGAAAAAAATGTTAAATACATTTAAAATATGATTTTCTGCCCTGGCTGGTTTGGCTCAGCGGTTAGAGCGTCGGCCCGCGGTCCAGAGAGACCCGGGTTCGGTTCCCGCTAAGGGCACGTACCTTGGTTTCAGTTTGTCCCCGGCTCCGGTTGGGGTTGTGTGGGTGGTAGCCACTCGATGTGTCTCTTTCACATTGATGTTTCTCTCTCTCTCTCTCTCTCTCTCTCTCTCTCTCTCTCTCTCTCCCCCTTCCTTCCCGCTCTAGCTGTAGATGCAAAAAAAAAAAAAAGGTCCTCGGGTGAGGATAAAATATGATTTTCTAAGGCTTACGATTTTTTTTGAGCCACCCATGTAATTCGAGGCCACACTGCAGTGTGTGCAAGGGTTGGCTTATTTTTCTCTCCGTCCTGCGGCGCCACCATCCAGGTTCCCAGTGAAACGGGTGTGGTTACGAAGGTTCCCAACAGTGATCGCAGGGGAAGCACGGTCACCCTCGGCCGCTACACTGATGTCTGGCTTCCTTTCTCCGCTGGGCCTTGGCCTGGTGACTCTTCATGAGCTGGGCAGCTCCCGGACACTGTAAACATGCATTTCTACTTTGTCCTCTAAGCCATTCCTAAAACTGCTTATTTGCAATTCCTCTTCTTGACCATTAGGTTTTGTTCTTCCTATTGTTTTAAGTTTCATTAATTTCTGCTATTTTTCTTTTTTTTTTGTTAATCCTCACTTGAGAATATATATATATATATATATATATTTTTTTTATCCTCACCCGAGGATATTTTTCCATTTTTGTTCAGATAGAGTGGGAAGGAGAAAAAGGGAGAGAGAGACACATCAACTGCTTGCTTCCCACACAACCCCAACCAGGGCCGGGGATGAACCCCAATCGAGATACGTGCCCTTGACTGGAACCAAACCCATGACTCATTGGTCTGCGGGCCAACGCTCTAACCGCTGAGCCAAACCGCCAGGGCTGGGAATATTTTTTCATTGATTTTTAGATAGAGTGGAAGGGAGGGAGAGACAGAGAGACAGAAAAACATGTGAGAGAGACACATCGATTGGTTTTCTCCTGCACGACCCCAACCAGGGCCGGGGATCAAACCTGCGACCCAGATATGGGCACCAAACCGGAGACCCTTCGGTCCGCAAGCACTGTGATCCTTTTGGTTGCTGCCTTCTGACAATTGCATTGGTCAAGAGACATGATCTCCATGATTCGGATTCTTTGAAATCTGATGTATTCCCATAGCATGTGACCAGCTTCATAAATTTACTTTTGTGTTTAAAAGAATATGCATTCAGTCCTGGCTGGTTTGGCTCAGTGGTTAGAGTGCTGGCCTGCGGATTGAAGGGTCTTGGGTTCGATTCCTGGTCAAGGGCACATACCTGGGTTGCAGGTTCAATCCCTGGACCCAATCGGGGTGCGTGTGGGAGGCAACCAATCAATGTTTCTCTCTCCCTCCTTCCCTCCCTCCCTCCCACTTCACCTAAGAATCAATGGAAAAATATCCTCAGGTGAGGATTAACAACAAAATAAATAAAATAAAAAATAAAAGAATATGCATTCTTACTTTGTGTGAAGAGTTCTTCATGAGTTCATCAGATCACGTCTGATTTTGTGTTCAGACTCTAGATCTCCGACTCACTGTTTAACTGCTTTACCTCTGAGGTATATTAAAGCACCCATCATGATGGTGACACTGATTTTTCCGTGTAGTTGTCTAAATTTTTGGTTTATATTTTTTTGAAGCTATCTTACTGAGGGCACACAAACTTGAACGATGAATCAACCTTGGGTCACTGTAGCGATCTTCGTTAAAACAGGAACTTACTGCAGCACACGGGTGCACACACACGAGCTTCCTTCGGGTCCCTCTCTGGTTACCCCGTGGCTCTCAAAACTCCTGCATCTGTTGCAGACGTGTTTCTTTAAGAAGCACAGCATGCATCGTTACAAACCCAGTCTAGCCCGGCTGGTGTGGCTCAGTGGCTTGAGCGTTGTCCCACGGAATGAGGACCCAGTTTGATTCCCAGTCAGGGCACATGCCCGGGTTGCAGGTTTGGTCCTGGGGGGTGAGGACACATGCAGTAGGCAGCTGATCCATGTTTGTAACATCAATGTTTCTCTCTCTCTTTCCCTTCCTCTTTTTTTTTTTTATCCTCACTGGAGGACGTTCTTCCATTTTTTATTCAGATACAGTGGGAGGGAGAGGAAGAGGAGAGAGAGAAACATCGACGTGAAAGGGACACATCGAGTGGCTGCCTCCCGCACGACCAACCAGGGCCGGGGACAAACTGCAACCGAGGTGCGTGCCTTCAGTGGGAACCGAACCCGAGTCTCTCTGGACCTCGAACCAAGGCTCTAACTGCTGAGCCAAACCGGCCAGGGCTCCCTTCCTCTCTCTTTAAAAAAGTCACTAAAACTGTATTTTAAAAAATTGAGTCTAATGACCCAAGAGTTCAGTTCCACCCACTTCCTCTCCTGGGCTTTTGCTCCTGAACACGTTACTTTGTTTCTTCTAAAGGCAGCTCCTCACATTGTCAAGGTCACACTTACTCAAGTCTCAAGTTGATCCACATTCTTTGCTCCTTGAGGACACAAGATCTGAAGGCTGATAGCATCTCAGTGAGCACCCCTAAGTGCACTAGGCAAACACGCCGAGGGGCCGAGAATGTTTCCCTGCAGCAAACTAGACCTCTGTGTTTTATACCATCAGCATTTCCGCAGATGTGCTCAGCTGCTTAGTCTTTGCTTTACTCATGGCTGCTTCTTACATCACCGACTTTCTGGGATAATTTCCCTCCTCCTCGAAGTGTATCTTTCAGAAGTTTCTTTAAATGAGGCAATTTTGGTAATAAATTATTATTTTTTTCATCTGAAAATGTCTTTCTTTCACCCTCATTCTTAAATAATCCACTTAGCAGAGCGGTCTGAATGAAAACATTCTGAATGATACAGCATCTGATGGTTGAAGGCTGAAGAGTGTGTACATACAAAGGTGAAAAGGTAAATACTATCTTAATTTTATACAGCATCTCTCAGATGACTGTCTGAAATATTTCTATATGCTTTTCGAACTAGATCTCCCAATCTGTCCTGAGTTCACCTTTAAGAAAAGTATTTTATGATACCCACTTTTTCTTTTTTATAGGCAAATAGGCTAAATTTTCTAAGATTTGTGATCACTCCCTCCTGAGTCTTTGGGTTCTATCTGCCACCTGTTTAACTAAGGGTGTGCCACCTGAACCTCTTTCTTGTTAAGCCTGCTTCTTTTTACAATTATTTAAATGTCTATAGTGTTCAAGAAATCCCACTGGTATAACTTTTAGTTTAAAAGAATTTTTTATTAACTAGCAGTCTTAATTCCTTACAGCATGTTGGATAACAAATCTTTTAAAGATAACTACGTTTGGTCTGGTACATTAATATATAATTATAATTTAAGCTAATATAAAAGTTCATTATTTTTTAATCATGTTCCCGAAGAATAAGTTATTAATCTGTGAATAACGGCTCATTAAATTAACACTTCATTTATACAGAGGAGAAATGGAAAATCCTGTCATGTTCAAGGCTAGATTTCTGCTAAGAGTTGCTACGTTTTTCCTATACATCTTTAAAATGCACGCGCGCGCGTGCACGCATGCTCGTCCAGAGTGCAGTGCTTGATAGGGAAGGTCACTGAATTGTCATCTTTCTCAACAGTTAAAGGAGACGTCTAGACTAGAGCAAAAGAGTCTCAGTCTTAATGAGCACACACTCTTAGCAGGGTTTGGAAAAATAAGCCTATTCACCCTGGCTGGTGTGGCTCAGTGGTCAGAGTGTCGGTCTGCACACCAAGGGTCATGGGTTCGATTCCTGGTCAGGGTACACACCTGGGTGGCAAGTTTGATCTCTGGCCGCAACTGGAGCACACACAGGAAGCAACCAATCGATGCATCTCTTTCACGTTGATGTTTCTCACCATCCCCTCCCCCTCCCTCCCTCGCTCGCTTCCTCTCTCAAAAACTCAATGGCAAAAAAAATATATTCTTGGGTGAGCACTAACAAAAAATTAAAAAAAAAAGAGAGAAATAAGCAGATTCCCCTAAAACACAAATATTTACAAATTACTTGTGTGGCAAGTATGGCCCGTGACAGACACAAACATGTGACGTGAAAAGGGGTGACCTGCAGCTAAAGTGTGTCATGGTCTTAACACCTGAAATCAGACGGATGCCAAGAGGACCTACTGGGGGAGACGGGTGTGCGGGAGCGACAGCAGCGTGACCCGGGGCCACCTCACCTCGGCACCGGCCGGACTGCGGCCCTGGAAGGGCTGCGGGCTGCCGACAGGCTGGCCCCCTCACCCTTCGGCAGAAACAGTTCCTGGGCCAGGGACTGCCACTCCCGAGCGAGGCCACACAGGAGGCCCCGGAGGCAGCTGAGGGTTGGGTGGGAGGCAGTGAACAGGGTGCTAGGAACAGATTATTGCTTTAAGCAGCTGGGACTCGCTCCTGCTGGGGACATTCTGAGAAGTAACAGTGTCCTCTCACCGAGGGGCACCTAGCCCTGACCCTCCCGGTACCGACCCCCAGCCTGGCCCACCTGCTGCCCAGCAGCCTCCGGCACCCCGGAGACGCCTGCAGACGCCCTCGGACTGCGCACACTCAGGTGAGTGAGAGGAGGCCCGGCGTACACGTTGGGCACAGACAGCCGGTGCCACTTCTGTGCCGTGTAAGGGAGGTATGAGCTTCAGTCTTAGTTTCTTTGCAGGATTCTCTGTGTGATCTTTGTTAGATAAGCAAAATTAGAGTCAAAAGTTTTAACTAAACACTGTCATTTCTTTCTGCTCTTCCCACAGGAGAGCTCAGGCACGTATGCGACGTAAGACAACTGGACAGACAGACTGTGTGAGTGCAGATCAATCTATCGAATGCCGACTCGTCATCTTTCCTTAGACCGAGTCTGTGAACGTTCTCAAGCGCTCCTGCTCCACTGCAGCTCAGCACTTCCTGTGCCCCGAGGCGCGTGCTGCCCACCCTGCCCCCACGGACCAGGCGTGGACAGCCGGCCGCTCCCAGCTGGAAGCGACTGGAGAAACGGGAACAGCAACAGGCGGTCTAACACAGCGTCAGCGTTTTTCTATCACGTGACAAGGAGGGACGAGCATTTCAAAACACTTCACAGTCTTCCCTGAGCTGCAGGAGCCCCCCCACGCAACTGCGCCCTGGAATTCAGGGTCTCTGACTTCCCGTCGTTCGCGGTTCGTGGTGTGGAAGGCAGATGGGCAGACGCGTTCCCATCGCTTTTCCAGAAACATCTTACTTAGGCTGAAATGTGTCTGCTATTTCTTCAGTCTTGAAACAAACTCAGTGTATGGTTTACTGTCAGTATCCCGCAGAGGAACCTTCAGCGACCTGGAACAGAGCACCGAGGTGCCCGCGCCCGTTTAGGAACTCCACCCACGTCGGGACTGGGAAGCCCACTCCCTTACGGTTCTCAACTGCAGAACTGGATCACTTCAGCCTATTTAAGACTTTTAAAAATATTTATTTCATTTTTTTCTTCTCAAGACTTAAAAACTTGGATAATATCCTACAAGACTATTTTGATACATATCAACAAAACTCAACTCCACTTTCTCCAATAATGAAACATAGTTTTTTTAAACGGTTACTTTTTAGATGACGCGAAACTAAAGAAAACTGGTTGCTGGCCTGAGAGTCGTCTTTGGAGAAGAACACCCTGTGCCTCACCAGCTGCTGCCAGGCCTTGCAGAGGTAGGGCCTGAAGTCCCCACCGGCGGCCGGGGGGCCCGAGGCGGGGGGCGGGCCTTCCGTGGGGCTGGGGCTCTTGCGCATTAGACTCTGGGTTGTGGCGAACACGGCCAGGCGATACTCGTTCACAAGTTTCTCCAGGAACTGCGAGCATTTCTTCAGAGTGGACTCCTGCAGGTGCACGCTCTCCCCTCCGCTGGCCCGGTCTACCCAGTAGAAGGCCGAGACGCTGTCCAGGATCAAGAGGCGGAGGGAGGGGCGGCGGCAGAACAGCGCCTCCAGCGCGTGGAGCGTGAGCAGGAGCTGGCTGCTGCTGCTGCAGCGCGCCAGGAACAGCCTGCCCAGGCAGCGCGTCACGGCCTCCTCCGAGCTGCGGGGCAGCCTGTGCTCCAGGACCGTGACCAGCCGCAGCATGTCGAAGTGGTAATCTGTGTCGATGAACAGGACTTCCACCTGCAGCCCGCCTTCTGCCCGTGGGAGGATGCACCGTGCCGCTATGTGGTAGAGCATTTCCGTCTTGCCTGTTCCTTCCGGGCCGTGGAATTCAAGGACAGCACCTGTGTGAGACGCAAAAGTGTCCGTCAGAAGGCGGCGGCACGGGAAGTGGAGGCTGAGATGAAAAGTCCGCAAAACGATGAAAAAGACATTCACTGGGACGTAAAGGAAAATCTAAATCCATCTGCTGAAACAAATCTGTACAGGGTAACGCGGATAACCAGGGAAGCCGCCACCGTCTGCACAGCAGGGGGGCGGGGCTGAGCAGCCGGAGGGGCTCTCCAGGGCGGCCCACAGGCACGCCCACCTACCCTGGGGACAGGACAGTCAGGATCAAGCGCCACAGACCTAGGGCTTTTCAAACACTATTTTTTTTAATCCTCACCCAAGGACATTTTTCCATTGCTTGTTCAGATAGAGTGGAAGGAAAGAGAAAAAGAGAGAGAGAGAAACATTGACGTGAAAGGGACACATTGAGTGGCTGCCTCCCTCACGACCCAACCAGGGCAGGGGACAAACTGCAACCGAGGTACATGCCCTTAGCGGGAACCGAACCCGGGTCTCTCTGGTTCACAGGCCGACGCTCTAACCGCTCAGCCAAACCGGCCAGGGCTAAACACTCTGGACTGCTGAGGTGCACACTTCCGGTAGCTGATAGCCCAGCATCCCGTCTCTCCTTCTCCTTAGCGATGCAGCCCCAGGCTCTCCCTCCAGAGCAAGCCCATGGTTCCCTCCCCACCAGGTACCAGCTCCTAAACTGAGGGGCCGCGCGAGACCTGCAGCCAGGGGAGCTGTGGGCAGCGGCAGCTTGTCCCAGGCTGAACCCTGACCTGTCTCCAGGCCTCTTTCCTGCTGCTGCTTCTATCCCAGGCCTTCCTCGTTTCCTGTCCCAAGCTGTGATGAATGGCCTCTCTGAACTTAAAATAAATAAATACATAAAATAAAACCCCAACTGGAGGTGGCAATGTGCCCAAACTGAAAAACGATCTGCTTCGTCTTCCTGCAACGAGGACCCAGCTGTCCCCGCTGTAGCCAGTGGGCCCCTGGGATTCCGAGCCGAGCACCCCGACACAGGTGCCGCTTCTGCTCTGCTGCTCCCTTCTCCTCGGGTGGAGCAGCTCCTGGACGCAGCGGGGGGACAGGGGGGGGCAGGGGCCCTCAGGAGGGGCAGCGGGAGGGCAGCGGGCCCCGGCCCAGCGACGCACAGCCTGCCAGGACACCGCTTCTGCGCGAGGAGAACGAGTTCCATCTGGTAAAGCCCTCGGCCGGGCTCCTGTCACCTGCAGATGAAGCGATCCCTCACTGGGGTTCCTCAGTGCCACTGCATCATGGGTAGAGCGACTTGCGACTGTGCAGTGCCACACGACCAGGGTGGTCGGGGTGGCCGGCTGTGCAGCGCCACACACCTGGAGTGGCCGCGTGACAGCTCTCGGACCTCGAATGCTGTTCGCCCAGCCAGTGAAAACACGTTTCCAAACTGCCTGCAGTGCCTCTTCGCTGAGCGGGTCTCCCTGGAAGCTGTGTCATTGAGGACGGCTTCTGCTGGGTGGCTGCCCTCCTGGCATTACGAAGCTCTCTCACCGGGGACGCACGGGTTCGGACACTGTCCTACCTCCAGAGCTTTCCAGCACCCGCTCCGCACAGGGCCTCCCGCTTCCCGCCCCCACGAGCACCCGCGGGAAGCACTGCCCTGTGAGTCACGGCCGGACCGCGGGACTGGACGCGCCGTCAGAACCGGGCTCCCGGGCCCCAGACAGGCGGCGCCGCTGCGAGCCCGGCTAGTCTCTCCTGCCGTCACTGGTAAGTCACTGTGTGTGGGGATAGTCACACAGAATGTGTGAAAAATCTAGCGAGTTGTCATCATCCTATACTTACGGTAGCATTAAAATTCAGCCAATTTCTTCTACAGAATTACATACAATTCAAAATTTACCAAAAAAAAAAAGATTCTCCCCAAGAGATTCCAGCTTCAAGGAGTGAAACTATTTTCACATTAATAACTGTCCATGGACACTTTTGTTAAAAGTTAACAGAGCTGCCCTGTCCAGTCTGGCTCAGCTGTTAGAGCATCAGACTGCAGATCGAAGGGCTGTGGGTTCGATTCTGGTCAAGGGCACGTGCCTGGGCTGCAGATTCAATGCCTGGCCCCTGTCAGGGTCATACAGGAGGAAACCCACAGATGTGTCTCTCTCTCGTCGATGTTTCTCACTCTCTCTACCTCTTCCCCTCCCTCCACTCTCTAAAAATAAATAAATAAAAATACACAAAAGCTAACAGAGTGACTATAACTACATCCAGCCCAGATGTTCTGTGTCCTCTCTCCTCCTGTATCACGGGGGAGCTAAGCTGCCCCAATGAAAGTCTCTCACTGCCTTAGAACACGGGAGAGTACGCTGCACACACGAGATGAGACGCCACAGCGGACCCGTGGCGGTGAAGGGACGCGGGACGGTTCCGCAACGAGCCTGCAGGTGGTCTGAGACACCGCGGGCCGAGTGGACACGGCGGGGCAACGAGCATAGCGCATGGAGCCCCCCCCTCCCCCCGAGAGTGGGCAGGGACGGTGGAGAGCACGTCACACGTGAGGGGGCTTCTTCTCGTGAGGGGGCTTCGTCGTGACAGCTGGCGCCTTGGGTCCTGGCAGCGACACCGAGGCGGAAAAGCAAACTTCGTCTTCTTCACGATGGTGTTTGTTGCGCCTTGTAACCTTCTGTTGTTGTTGATCCTCACCCGAGGCCATTTCCCCACTGACTCTTAGATAGAGCGAAGGGAGGGAGGGAAAGGGAGACATTGATGTGAGAGAGACACATCAACTGGTTGCCTCCCATACGACCCTGACCAGGCCAGAGATCGAACCTGCAACCCAGGCACATGCCCTTGACCAGGGATCGAACCCGCAACCCTTTGGTGTGCAAGTTGACGCTCTAACCACTGAGCCAAACCAGCTGGGGCTATTGTTATATGATTCTGATTATTTACTTGATTGTATTTCTTGGCTACTTTGCGGTTGGGACTCAAACATTCTATCTCCGACACAAAACACAGCCTCTGCTCCATCAGATGACTTTCCTCTTAAGAACTTTTTTTTTTTTTTTTTATCCTCACCCGAGGACATTTTTCTATTTTTTGTGCAGATAGAGCAGGAGGGAGAGAGAAACATCGACGTGAAGGGACACATCGAGTGGCTGCCACCCGCACAACCAACCAGGGCCGGGGACAAACTGCAACCGAGGTACGTGCCCTTAGCGGGAACCGAACCCAGGTCTCTCTGCACCGCAGGCCAACGCTCCAACCGCTGAGCCAAACTGGCCAGGGCTTAAGAACTTCTTGAGCGACATCTAATGAATGGAAACGGAAGTCCTGCCTGGGTGAGGGCTCCAAGCCCCAAAGTTGATGTTGGAACACAGATTTTGAAGGAAGCTGGTGCCGCAGGGTGGCTTTGGTTAGCAGGTGCGCATGCCCATGACCACGGCTGGGAACAAGGGCTGACGGCAGACGGAGGAGGAGCAGTGTGCCCAGTGCCAGTCTCGCCCCCCCCGCTGCTCCTGCCCAGCAAGAGCTGATGACCAGCTTCTGTCAGGGTTCAGCCCCTTCTCCGAGTCCCGAGGCGAAGGCAGCGACTTCACGGTTCTCAGAAACAGCTTGGGGGTACGCGCACAAACACACTATGTGAGCCCACAGGGGCTTTTAAATCACAGAACCCACGTAAATGCCCTAGCATGAATTCACCTTCCCGTGATTCCGAAATTTTTAAAGAATAAAAACACAGTAACGAAAGTCCCACGAAAGTTGCGCGTTGGGGTAAAGCTGGGTTTTATCTGAAGGTTTATGCAGACGAGCCAAGCTCCACCTCAGCTGACGGGGAGGGGGCGGGGCTCAAAGCGCCTGTCAGGACCGTTGTTTTACTTCTATGGCTGAGCCTCCAGGCCTCCCGCTAGGCGTAGGTGTCTACGACAATACTCTGTGCACATTCAACCTATGACACGGCATCGTTTCCGACTGTGTGTTTACCATGCATCGCAGAGTCTTCGTCAGCAAACAGACGGGGCTCTATTTCCTTCAAAGACCGTCTGCCTTCCAGCCGGGCAAGGAGCTTCAAAGGGAAAAGAGAGAATGAACAATCATAACCTGAAACTGGAGGGGCCTAAAACCCACATTCAGAGAGCTCTCCAAGTGAATATGAAAGGCTTTTCCTAATTTTGAGGTACTGGAGGAAATGATGAAGTAGGGAACATAATTTAGGAGAAAAGCGTTCATTTATTCAGAAAATACTTCATTTTTTGTTTACACACCCAATACGGGTGGCCTGAGTCTTGCCCTCGAAGGAGCTGATGGAGCTGGGTGAAGGACCCAGCTGCTCTTGCAAGGCGCCTGCTGTCCTCGGGCATGACATTGACACAGTCCCCGTCCTCAGGCATGACATGATCTTCCTCACTGTACTCACTACACCTGCCACACTGGTACCAGCGTTTAATTTGTCTGCCAATCGCACTGTCAGCTCCCTACCTGTTGGGGGTACTGGACACAGGAGAAAGGGGGAGAAAGCTTCCCTCGAGGAGCTCCACCTGAGTGAGGGAGCTCAGTGGGGCAGAGGCGGCCACGGCGCAGAGGTTATGAGCAGCCCCATGTGTAGGTCAGCTTGAAGCGCACTCGAATTGCTAGAGCTGATAGCCCAAAAAGAGCAGGAAACGGTAAGTCCAAAGAGCAGAGGTCAGAGCACAGAAGGTCTCAGACGCCATGTTTGGGCGTCTGCTCCCTGGCTCGGACACAGTGTGAGGGGTTTTGAGCTACACAGAGGGGCAGTCGGGCAGTGCGGAGCAGAGAGTCGGGACCCCAGAAGCAGACCTCGGTCACTTCCCTGGGCCTGACTGAGGTTTCTCGTCAGCAAAGTGAGCGTAACGAAGAGCACCCACCGCACAAGGCTGTTGCGGATTTAGTGTGTTCAGAGAACTGCCCTGGTTAGGTAGCTCGGCTGGTTAGTGACGTCCCAGTATGCCAAGGTTGTGAGTTCGACCCCGGGTCAGGGCACATACAAGCTGAGTGCATCAGTAAGTGGAACAGCACACTGATGCTCCTCCCTCTTTCTCTCCTCTCTCTAAAAATCAATTGATCAATAAAAAAATCTGCCCAGCTGGTATGGTTCAGTGGTTGAGCATTGACCCAAGCCCAAGAAGTCACCAGTTCGATTCCCGGTCAGGACACATGCCCAGGTTGAGGGCCCGATCCCCAGTGGGGGCGTGCAGGAGGCGGCCAATTGATGTTCTCTCTCCCTCTCCCTTCCTCTCTCTAAAATCAGTAAAGGAAAAAAAATTTAAGAGTGCTTAGCACTAAGTAGGTGGGAGTTATTATTTCCTGAGTTTTAAACAGACCACGTTGGTGGCTGGTAGGGATGGATCTGAGAGTAACACCAGCCACGGAGGGAGGGCTGGAGGCAGGCCCAGGAATCTGGAGGCGGAGGGCCCGCACCCAGACTGAAGTCAGGGTGGCTGCAAGCAGAACTCGGTGGCTGATTTCAGTGTCAACGAAGGAAATGTGATCAAAGCTGGTTCTCGAGCCTCCGAGTCAGCACAGGTCTGACAACCCTTCTACACCACAAGAGAAGAGTGTGCTATCGCAGTGGGAAGGCAGCAGTCCCCCTGGTGTGTCTTTAACTGGAACAGAGGCTCTGACCAGGTCTGCAGCGATGACGAGGCTGCGCGGTGACGGCAGACCCCACTGTGTCCGGCATGCGAAGGCGCTGTGGCAGGTGGGATGGGACGGCAGGTGGGATGGGGTCGGCAGGGACAAGGTGAAGCCCGCGGACTGCACCGGAGGGACAGAGCACCCTGAGTGCAGCAGAGGGCCTGAGCACCCCAGGTCAAACTGTTCCCTCAGTGCTAAGGCAGCATGTCTGTCACTGCGCTGGTCTGCGCGGCGGGCAAACTGCTGGCGCCCCGCCCTGGTCAGCTTGGCTCAGCGGTTAGAGCGCCAGCCTGCAGACCAAAGGGTCTTGAGTTCAATTCCTGGTCAAGGGCACACGCCTAGGTTGCAGGTTTGAGCCAAGGCCCCAAGTGGGGTCATGCGGGAGGCAATCAATCAATGCGTCTCTCTCATATCAATATTTCCCCCTCTCTCTCTCCCTCCCTCCGTCTCTAAAAACCAATGGATAAATATCCTTGGGTGAGGATTAACCAAAAAGCAAAGGCTGCCAGCGCCCAGCAGCCAAGGCAGTGGGCCCAGCTGTGCTCACACGCAGGGCACGGTTGTCCCTCGCCGCTTCGATTGCGCGGCTTCACCCTGTCACAGTTTCCGAATATAGTATAGCATTTTCCACACGAAGCCGCGACAGGCGAAGCACGAAGTGCCAAGGGACAACTGTATATAAATAAAGACCCCACTCTGCGGAAATTCTTTATCGTGGTAGAGTCTGGAACTGGTTAGCCCTGATAAACGAGGGCCGACTGTATTCCTCACTTGAGGGATGAAAAAACCCAAAATAGCCCTGGCCGGTTTGGCTCAGCGGTTGGAGCGTCGGCCTGCGGTCCGGTCCGGAGAGACCCGGGCTCGGTTCCTGCTAAGGGCACGTACCTTGGTTGCAGTTTGTCCCCGGCCCTGGTTGGGTCGTGTGGGTGGCGACCACTCGATGTGTCGCTTTAACGTCGATGTTTCTCTCTCTCTCTCTCCCTCCCACTCTATCTGGACAAAATATCGAAAGGTGTCCTCGGGTGAGGATAAAAATAAAAAAAAAACCCCAAAATAGCAAAACTAGTTTTACATAAGAATGTCTTGGATGGGACAGTAAACAGTATTAATTCTAGTAACTCAAGACCCTTCAGTACTTTTAAAAAACATATGTTTTTATTGATTTTTTTTTACAGAGAGAGGAAGGGAGAGATAGAAACATCGATGTGAGATACAGCCACCTGCCGCCTCCTGCACGCCCCCTGCTGGGGATCGAGCCCGCAACCTGGGCATGTGCCCTGACTGGGAATCGAACTGAGGCCTCTCAGTCCATGGGACGATGCTCAACCACTGAGCCACATTGGCCGGCACCCTTAAGTACTTTTAAAACTACTCTTTACAAGGACAGAGGAACACAGAGTAGTCAAGAATTTAAACTTGACCAGCCCTGGCCGGTTTGGCTCAGCGGTTTGAGTGTCGGCCCAAGGACCAAAGAATCATGGGTTCGATTTCGGCCACAGGCATGTACCTCAGTTGCGGTTCTTCCCTGGCCCTGGTCAGGGTCGTGAGGGAGGCAGCCAATCAATGTGTCTCACATGATGTTTCTCCCTCTCTGTCTCTCTCCCCCTCTTCCCTCCCTTCCACTCTATCTAGAGATACATGGAAAAAAAAATCCTAACAACAATGAGGTATCACCTCACACCTGTCAGAATGGCTGCCATCAACAAATCATCAAACAACAAGTGTTGGCGAGGGTGTGGAGAAAAGGGGACCCTAGTGCACTGCTGGTGGGAATGCAGACTGGTGCAGCCACTATGGAAAACAATGTGGTGTTACCTCAAAAAATTAAAAATTGAACTTCCATTTGACCCAGTGATCCCACTTCTAGGAATATACCCTAAGAAGCCTGAAACACCAATCAGAAAGAATATATGTACCCCCATGTTCGTAGCAGCACTATTTACAATAGCTAAGATCTCGAAACAGCCCAAGTGTCCATCAGTAGACGAATGGATAACAGAGCTGTGGTACATATACACAATGGAGTACTATGCAGCTGTAAGAAAGAAAGATCTCTTATCCTTTGAGACTACATGGAGGAACCTAGAAAGTATCATCCTAAGTGAAACAAGCCAAACAGAGAAAGACAAGTATCATATGATCTCACTTATTTGTGGAATATAATGAATATAACAGTCTGAGGAATGGGGTAGTCCCAGAGATGTGGAAGTGGGGTACAGACTGACAATCCCCAGAAGAGGGGGTAGTGGGGAAGAGAGAAACCACAGAACTTATATGCATGTATGCATGATCAGTGGACATGGACAACAAAGCTGGGGACAGGGCAGGGAGGGAGGGGGAGGGGGAGGGGGGAATCAGTGGTGGGGGAAAGGAGAAACATGTGTAACAAAAATTAATAATAAAAAAAATATATCCTCAGGTGAGAATTTAAAAAAAAAAAAGTAAACTTGACCTGCGAGAGGTCTGGCCTTTGCGGGGGCTCCTGGGAGGTCACCTCTGAGCCCCGTAGAGCATCCTGCTGAGGACAGAGCTTTTGCCTCCGTGGGGCCTGGAGCCTGGGTGGGCTTTGGGGCAGTGGGGTCTCTGCTGTCACGCTGGGGTCAGCTGTTCCCAGGACGCAGCCCGTGAAGGCGGGACACTGAAGGCCAGGTGGTCTACCTGGGGCACACTATCACACTGCTGCTGGAGAGTCGGCACTGCCCACAGCTCCCCAGGAGAGGACGGCCGGAGGTCTGCACTTGGCATTCGGCCTCTGTCCAGTCACACCTCTTCCCTTGGCTGGTACCAACCTGGAGCGACCCATAACCACAAACAGGGGGCAGGCAATTCTGCGAGTCCTTACGAATTCTTGGACATGAAGGTGGTCTTGGGGATCCCTGAACTTGCAATCAGTGTTACAGTGAGCAGAATCTCGGGGCCCTGAACTCTGCAGCTGGTGTCCGAAGTGAAGGCAGTTTTGGGGGACTTCCCCAACTTCACACATAAAGCATTTTTGCTCCAAATTCAAATATAATGGTTTTCCTCTGGGAAAAGCAACTATATGGTTATTTAGTTGGATCCTCTTTTATTATTTGAACTTGGGAAAACTTGCATCCATCACTGAGTTTGACAGCTTCTCAATACTTACGATCCTTTTGGGTGAACTCACTGGTGAGTTCAACAAGTGTGATTTTTCTGGATAATTACTTAACGAAATAAGTCAATACCTGGAAGATCTGCACAACTTAGTGAACCAGTATTTCCAAATGATCAATGCATGATGTTAAATCATTTCTGGGTAAAAGAGTCACTCCAAGTGTAAGGCAGATCAATGGGTTTTAATGTCTGAAAAATTCACTGATATAATTGTATGTTCTACATTGCAATTAATCTTTTAAAATCCTCACCTGAGGTTGTTTTTTCTATTTATCT